GTGCTTCAGTTTTGTTGAATTTCTTGGATCTGTGAATGTATAGCTTGCATCAAATTTATAAAAATTTTAGTCATAATTTCTTCACATTTATTTTCTGTTTCTCACCCTCTCATCTACCTCTGCTATTCCAATTACATGTACATTAGGGAACTTGAAGTTGTCACATAGCTTACTGATGCTATTTATATTTTAAGTCTTTTTTACTGTGTTCATTTTGGATAGTTTCTGTTGCTATGTCTTCAAGTTCACTGATCTTTTCTCCTGCAGTGTGTAATCTCCTGTTAATTCCAATTAGCACTTATCTTCTCAGACATTGTAGTTTTATCTATAAAAGTTTGATTTGGATCTTTTTTAAAAAAAACTCTTCCATGTGTCTACTTAACATGTTCAGTCTTCCCTCCAGTTCATTGAACATATAAAATATAATTAAGTATAATTTTAGTGCCCTTGTCTACTAATTCTGTCATTAATGTCATTTTTGAGTCTGTTCCTAGTGATTTATTTTTATCCTCATCATGGTTGGTATTTTCCTACTTCTTTGCATGCCTTGTGATTGTTCACTGGATACCAGACATTGTGAATTTTTCCTTGTTAAGTGTTGGATATTTTTGTATCCCTATAAATATTCTTGAGCTTTTTCTGGGATGAAGTTAAGTACGTAAAAACAATTTGCTACTTTAGAGGCTTGATTTTAAGCTTTGTTATGTGGGATCAGAGCAGCCTTCAGTCTAGGCTGATTTTGCCCTACCTACTGAGGCAATATTCTTCTGAGTACCTACCCATGATTTATGAGAGTTTTCCACTCTGACTCATGGGGACACAAACTATTATCAGCCCTGTGTGAACTCTGCACACGTTAAAACAAACAAACAAAAACATTTTGGGGCAATTCTTTCCCCAGCCTCTGACTAGAAAACAAAACAAAACGAGTTGCCATCAAGTTGATTCTGACTTATGGCAACCTCATGTGTTTCAGAGTAGAAGTGCTTCCAGTGGAAGTGTTTTCAACGACTGTGATCTTTTGGAAGTAGATTGCCAAGCTTTTATTCTGAGGTGCATCTGAATGGATTTGATCCACCAACTTTTCAGTTCATAGCTGAGTGCTTAACCATTTGTACCACCCAGAAGCACCTGATTAAAAAAAAAAAAAAACCACTGCCATCTAGTTGATTCCTACTCATTGTGGCCCTATAGGACAGAGCAGAACTGCCCCACAGTGTTTCCAAGTAGTGGCTGGTGGATTCCGACTGCCGACCTTTTGGTTAGCAGCCGATCCTTAACCACTGTGCTACCAGGGCTTCAAAGTTCGACAGTTACCTTATATTCATTAATTGATTAGTACTCAGCTGAAGACCTGAAGAATACCTTGTACAGATCTCATGAGCCCTCTCTTAGTATAGCTCTCTCTTCAGCAGTATTCATTCCTGAGAACTGTAGCCTTCTAGGCTTCCCTAGACTCCCACATCTGTCTTTTCAAATTAAGATGACTGATCTCCTCTTGGGCTCCCTTTTCTGTACAGCAGCCTGGAAACTCTCCCCAGACGATAATCTGGAGGCAATAGTAAGGCTCACATTGTTTGTTTCTCCTCTATCAGGAACTTTGTCTTGCACTGCCTGGTGTTCAATGACTGAAAACTGTTGTTTCATATAATTTGTCCAGGTTTTAGTTGTTTCAGTTAGGGAAGGAAATTCAGTCCCTGTTACTCCTTGTTGTTTGGAAGCAGAAATGTGGCTTAATGTTTAAAATGATGATTAATCATGAAAGCTTTATTTTACTTCTAACCAGAGCACACTTTATGACTTTATGTGCTATCTGAACTTGCTGGAAGAGTCCAGGGGCTGTGTCTCCTCGCTAATCTGCCCTGACTAGAAGGTTCAATCTGCAATGCTTTCTCTGGTCACAAGGTGGCCCATAAATTTATCGTCTGGATTTCTTTAAATGGGCTTGGGTTAAGGAAAAAAAAAAAAAAGGTAATTGTTTTTAAGAACTTATGAGATATTATCTTCATTATCATCTCAATTCTGTTAGAAACATGTAAAAATACAAAAATGTATACTTACCATTTGCTGAATACCACTAAATCTATATTTATCTTGTTTAGTTTTTCATTTATTCACTCATTCAACAAGTATCTACTGCGCATGATGTACCAAACCCTGATGGTCTCAATCCCTAGCTACATTTCAAACTATTTTCTTGGACTTCCTTTTTCTTTGAGAAGAGCCACCTCTGCCAGGGGTCCGGAGCACATTCCTTAATCTCACTGTGTGCTATTTGCCAGAAATTTCAGGCATTTACAGGAAAAATTTGTCTATCCCTTTTGTGGAGAATGGCCACACTGAGAGAGAAAAGGAGGCCCACCATGTAACATGTAGAAATGACATAAATAGGCAAATACAGGCAGAACCTTGGATATGACTGCTCCCCTCAAGGGAACCTCATGTCCCTGTTCCTTTACTGCCTTTTGCTCACTTACTGCTGGTTGTTTTTTGCCTGAGGATTGTACATAGACCGTGACCACTCACATACTAATCCCTCAGATGCTTCTTCAGACTCAAACACTCTGTTAAGAGCCAAAGGAAGCTGGGTAGCAGAGGGCTTGCTCTCTCTTGAGACTGGAACCCTAAACCCATCTTTCTCTGAACCTGATAGGACAACTTGGATCTGCCTCGACATGCAAGAGAGGTGCATTTTCCTGGGCATATGTGTCTAACTTTCTATCATGGATATGCCAGGAGTTCAGATGTGAGCTTCCAGTTTCTCTTCATGAAGGGATTGCGGAATACCCTTAGGTCATTGAAGCCAGAATGCTTCTCTTTTCCACAGAAGCTGGTGCTGACATTGGCAATCAGGAATAAGAAGTCTGGTAGGGCATAAGCCTCTTGGTTTATCAGTTTTCCTGCCCTTTCAACTCTGGCCTTTCCCTTTATAAACTTCTGTCTTGCATAAATTTGCCTTGCCGTCTCAAGCACCTGGAGGAGGGAGAGCTTTGGCATTGTTTAGGCATATGATTCATGATGTCTGAGGTTTGTTGTGTTAGATGATATTTTCATCTGCCTATTCACTTTTCCTTTTGGTTTCATAAGTGTTATTGCACTGTTATATTCTAGAACAGGGGTCAGCAAACTTTTTCTGTAAAGGTCCAGATAGTAAATATTTTAGGCTTTGCAGGCAGGTCATACAGTCTCTGTCATAACTACTCAACTCTGCCACTATAGTGCGAAAACAGCTAAGACAGTATGTAATCAAATGAGCATGGCTGGGTTCCAATAAAACTGTATTTATGGACACAAACACTTGAATTTTATACAATTGTCGTATGTCACAAAATAGTATTCTTTCGATTTTTTCAACCATTTAACTATGTAAAAACCATTCTTAGCTTGTAGGCCAAAAAAAGAAAAAAAAGGCAGTGGGCCAGATTTGGTGCATGGGCTATGGTTTGCCAATCCGTTCTAGAATCCTGCTTCTAAGTTTACTTCCACAAAAGGCTGTCTTCATACATAATATGTGTATATTTCACCTGATTAGCATACTCTGAGGGCAACTTTGTTTCCCAGGCTCAACTGGGACACTTAACCCCAGTGGCCCTCCCATGGACTTCTCATAAAGACCCCACATCTAGGAATCCACTGATTCATTGATGTGACTTCCTGACATCTAACTCAATATGTTGTTGTTGTTAGGTGTCATCAAGACGATTTTTGACTTATAGTGACCCCATGTGACAGAGTAGAACAGTTCCATAGGGTTTTCTAGGCTGTAATCCTTAGAGGAGCAGATCGCTAGGTCTTTCTCCCGTGGGGCTGCTGGGTGGGTTCAAACTGCCAACCTTTCAGTTAGCAGCTGAGCACTTAACCAATGTGCCACCAGGGCTCCTTTAACTCAATATAAACAAAAAAAAACCCAAAACCCTGTTGCCATTGAGCCAATTCCAACTCAGCAACCCTACAGGACAGAGTAGAACTGCCCCCTAGGGTTTCAAGAACACCTGGTGGATTTGAACTGCTGATCTTTTGGTTAGCAGCCATAGCTCTTAACCACTAGCCACCAGGGTTTCTGCTTAACTCAATATAGGATAATAAAATTCTTTACATTCATAGGTTTCAGGTGGAGGTTGGCTGGCATGAGGAAGGACTGTCTCAGATTCAAAGCAATCTGTGTTCCCTCACGTGTCTTGCACAGTCTGCTGAACTGGGGAGGTTTCCTGAGAGAATTCACCCTAAGGAGAAAGAAAATCAGACAGATAAGGTTTTGCCATGAAGCTAAACAGGGAGAGGGGACTTGGCCACACCTTTGTAAAGCTGAGTGAGGGTTCAATCCACTGTGGGTTCTGGAGAAATCAGTGGGACTTTTCTCTCCTTAAGAATTCCTGAACATCTGCAGTGGTGGTGGCCAGTGTAGGGAGCAAGACTCAGAAGACAGAGCAATACCCAGGAAAGAGCATGGGGTTGGAGCATAGCAACAAAGGAATGGAAATACTTACCTCTCAGTCCATTGACTTGTTTTTCAGTATAGGGAAGACCTCACTTTGGGAACTTCCTCAAATAGCTGAAGGGAATATCTAAAGGGTTGGGTCATACATGTGGTGGTAGGAGCAAAGGCTTAGAGAAAGTTAAAAAACTTATTTGGTCCACACAGCAGCCCTGGGAGGTGGTTATTACCCTCATATTACTGATAAATATAATGATCTTTAAAGCAATGTCTCTTATCAAGTTTACACTGCTAAATAAGATCCTGAGGTAACCTAAAATTGAGGTACTGTCATAACCTCAATTTTGTAAGTTCTTACATTATTTTAATAAGGCAGTCAAGCTCTTTTGTTAATGTGTTCAGTTTTGAAAAATGAGAAAATAGAACCAAGAAAATAAAAATCACTCATAATTCAACAATGAAATGAACACTGTAATATTTTATATATTCTTACACTGTTTATATTTTATAAAATATAAATGTAAGATTTGAAATAAAAAAGAATAAATACAGAGATTGCTTTTTTAAACTGCTTTATTAACTTCACAATATAATGAGCATGTTTCCAGGCAATAGGTAAAACTCCCCTGCTGACAGAAACTTACAGACTGGGTCAAAAACACGACATTCAGTCAGAAGCTGGTAATAGGAGACCCATCAGAAACAAGCAGCATCGAAAGGTTTACAACAAAGGTGCCTTACACACGTAAGTTTAGGAAGCAGGGGTCTACCTATTAACATCAGAATTCATGGCACAAGGCAAAACTCATCATGATGGTCATGGTGAGGGGGGTCAGTGCTAACTGCCCGCAGACTATGACTCAATTGCTTTCCCCTCAGTTTTTCCATCAGCTGTCTCACCTCCTCCCCAATCCTTTCTACATTCTCTTCTCTCATCCTTGCCTGTGGCTCTCCAAGCCTCTGAATCATGTCCCATCTATACTGCAGGATGGGCTGCCTAACTCGGAGTTGCCTATGGCTTCCTCTAGGCACACAGTATTCACCAGCTTCCAAAGGGAGTGCCAAGGGCTCTGCTTTGTTAGCGTCTTGCTCCTTTTCGTCCTTTTCTTCATTTTCCTGGAGGGCATTTTCCACATTGAGATTTTGGCCCGCTTGTTCCTCTTTGGACTCCATTACTCCTAGGAGCAAAAGCAAGACTCTAGTCAACCAGAGGCGGATTAACCAGAAAGCAAGGTATGCACGGGCTTACAGTAAGCAAGGGTTTAACTGTGTCTCCTTACTAATTTGTAGTGCACAATTTCACATGGTGAAAAACAGGTCAAATTGTGCACTACAGATTAGTAAGTAATCACAAGTAAACCAGTGTTTACCTTGCTTATTGGGTAATCCATCCCTAGCTGAGAGAAGGGACTGAACCTTTCCTGGACTGATCAGCACCGAGGACAGAGGCCCTACTATGCACCTTTTACCATTCAGAGCCCTGGATATTCAAAGGTTTAATTTCATTTTTCCCATCCAAGCGACTAGGGCGCCCTCTAGGGGGCTCCCAGTCCTCTCCCCTCCCTCCCCCAAGCCCACCATTTTTCCTGCCGCTCCTTGGCCAGGCATCTGCAGACACGAAAATGGAGAACAGGGCGGGGGGTTGGGGTGACAGTCGGGGTCTCAGACTGGGCTCTGCCCCGCCCCCCCCCCATGGTCCCTCGCACCGACCTGGGCCTATCCTGGCAGTCTCCTCCTCCTCGTCTTCCTCCCGATCCTCGCTGCCAGGTGCGCCGCCTGGACCCGCAGACCTGCAGATGGCGGGGGGCGGGGCTGCTGCGGCCGAACGCTCGGCGCCGCCCCGCCGCCACCCCGGGCCCCTCGAACCGGCCCCTCTCGCCGCCCGCACCCGCCTCTCCCTCCCCGCTGACCACCATTTTCTGCAAGAAAGACGACCGGGCGGCGCGGGGTGCTGGAGAAGCCTGCGGCGGTGGGAGAGGCAGGTGTTTCCCAAAGGTCGTCGCCTCGGGCCCGCCCCTCCTGCAGGGCCGGCCAGCCCCTTCCCACAGGAGAGGCCCGCCGCTCTCTCACCCACACGCACCGGCTCGCGGCGGGCCGTGGGGGCTGCAGCCCCGGACCTGCTGCTGCGGGCTCTGCGCTGCTCCGCCCGGGGCTGCCGGACCCTGGGAGGGAGTTCCGCCCGCGTCTGCCTCTCCCCCCACCCCCGCCACCAGCCCCAGGGACCCCCTCCGGGTTCCTTACCTGCTCCGCCTCCCGGTTCCTGGGCCGCCCCTAGCCCGCACGCCCGCAGGACCGCCGGGAACAGGTACCGAGAAGGGACGACCAACGGCCAGTGGGCCGGTGGAGGGAGGCGCGCGAGTCGGCGCTGGCCAGTCACGTGAGGCTTCGTCGCCGCGCGGCTCCGCCCCCACCCGGGGCGGGTTCCGGTCGCCCTGGAGTCAGGCGAGGCCCGCCTATCCGCCCCCCTTCTCCTCACCTCGAGTCCCTTTAACATCACCACCCCCGGGGCCTGTCACTCTCCCCTCTTTGCGGAACCCTGAGCCTGCCAGGGAAGGGCAGCACTTGCTTAAGGGGCTGTTGGCCATTTCTGCCGCTTCTCTGGGGACTGGCTTTTTCCCCTCCTCTGCTCCCCGGATACACGGCTCCTCCCCTACCTGCCATCCTCTCTGCTACCAATGGTCACCATTTCCCCTCCACTAAGATAACGTGGAAGAGGTGTGTTAGGAAAAGAGCCCAGGAGAGTAGATTTTTTTTCTAATTCTTAATACCTTTCTGTTTTATTCCTTGTCAATTAAATAACAACAACAAAAATCAATATACATTTTTAAAAGAAGGAACAAAGAAAGTTATTTTATTTGAGTAAAAGGATTAAAGTTGGGGAAAAAAACCCACCTGTCTCTTCTGCTAAGTCATTATATGAATATAAATCTACAGGCAGCTGCATTTTTAGAACTTGGAAAAGGGCAGGGCAGCTAGCTGATTGCTCCTCTTGTGAGGGGCCCCCAGACACATGAGGACCTTCCATGACGTGAACCAATAGCTTTTTGTGCAATACAGCTTTGTTGTCGGATTTTCAGAACTAAAACATTAAATCTTTCACAAAGCTCTGTTTTGAAAAGAATGACTATGTCTTTATTTGCAAATCACATGCTCATGTATTTAGACGATCTTAAGGGACATACAAAAAATGCATTATAGAACTAAGAAGTGAATTTACCAAGATTACAGTTGCAAGTTTAAATATAAAAAAAATCAATTGTCTTCCTATATGCTAGTAATGAACAATTGGAAATTGAAATTGAAGTGTGTGTGTGTGTGTGTGTGTGTGTGTGTATGTGTGTATGTAAAATTTATGGCCCAAAAAACCAAACCCATTGCTGTGAAGTCTATTCCAACTCATAGCAACCCTATAGGACAGAGGAGAACTGCCCAATAGGGTTTCCAAGGCTGTAAATCTTTTTCTCCCATGGAGCACCTGGTGGGTTCAAACCCCTGAACTTTAGGTTAGCAGCCGAGTGCTTTAACCACTGCACCACCAGGGCTTCTTAAATTTATGGTAGCTTACAAAATTATAAAATACTTAGGGATAAATTTAACAAAATATGTAGAAAAACCTGTATACTGAAAACTACAAAACACTGCTGGAAGAAACTAAAGATCAAAATAAATGTGAAGATATACTGTGGTCCTGGATCAGGAGATTCAATATTGTTAAGATGTCAGTTTTCTCCAAATTCATCTGTAAATTCAGTGTAATCAAAATAAAAATCCCAACAGGCATATTTGCATAAATTGACACCCACAAATTTATATGGAAATGCAAAGGACCTGGAACAGCTAAAACAATTTGGGAAAAAAACCCAGAAATCTGGAGGATTATATTGCCAAATTTTTACTTAAGGTAGTAGTAATAAGGGTAGTGTAGTAGTGGAGTAAACAGATACATCAATCAATGGAACAGAGTAGACAGTCCAGAAATAGAACCATACATATACAGTTAATTCATTTTTTACAAAGGTCTCAAGGTAATTCAATAGCGAAAGTATAGCCTTTTAAACAAATGGTACTGGAACAACTAGATATCCTATAGAGAAAAAAGGGGACTTTGCCTTTTACCTTATATCATACACAAAATTAATTCAAAATAGATCATATGTCTAAATGTAAAAGCCCAAATTATAAAACTTCTAGAATAAAACAAAACAAAAGAACCTTCTCAGCCTTGGGGGAAGATAAAGATTTCTTTGATAGGACACAAAAACACAGATCACAAAAGAAAAATAATGATAAATTGGACTTATTAAAGTTAAAGACTTCTGCTCTTTAAAAGGCTTGGTTGAGAACATCAAGTGGCAAACTGGGAGAAAATATTCATAATACATGCATCTGACAAAGGGCTGTATTTAGAACATATACATTGAATAACCAATTGCTGTTGAGTCAATTCTGACTCACGGCAGTCGCATGTGTATCAGAGTAGAACTGTGCTTCATAGCATTTCAATGACTGATTTTTCAGAAGTAGATCATCAGACCTTTCTTCTGAGGCACGTCTGGGTGGACTCAAACCTCCAACGTTTGGGTTAGAAGCTGAGTGCATTAACTTTTGCACCACCCAGGGACTTCAGAACATATATAAAGAAATCTTAAAATTCAAAATAAGAAGACAAACAACCCAATTTTAAAAAGATCAAAAGATTTGAACAGACATTTCACAGAAGTACACATACAAATTGTCAATAAACTTATGAAAAGGTGCTTAACCTCATTAATTATCAGAGGAATGTAAAATAAAACCAGAATGAAACACTGCTACGCACCCATTGTTGTTTGCTGCCATTGAGTTGGCTCCCAACTCATGGTGACCCTGTGCGCAATGGAACAAAATACTGCCTGGTTCTGTGCCATTCTCATGATCAGTTGCCAGTTGGACAGTTGTGATCCATGGGGTTTTTCACTGTTTGATTTTTGAAGTAGATCTCTAGGCCTTTCTTCCTAGTCTGTCTTAGTCTGGAAACTCCACTGAAACCTGTTCTGCATCATAGCAACATGCATAGCAACACAGGTGGTGGCTGCACAAGAGCTGCACTGGCCCGAAATAGAACCTGGGTCTCCCTCATGGAAGGTGAGAGTTATACCACTGAACCACCACTGCCCCCATTAGAACCGCTAAACTTAAAATGTCTGACAATACTAAGTATTTTTGAGGATACAGAATATCTGCAACTCTCGTTCACTGCTGATGGGAAGTTCAACCACATTGAAAGACTTTTTTGCAATTTCTTGAAAAGTTACATTTACCATATGACTCAGAAATCTCACTCTGTGGAATTTTCCCAACAGAAGTCAAAAAATATTTACTCAAAAATATTTGTACAAAAATGTTTATAGCAATTTTGTTCATGATATGCCCAAAGTGGACACAATCCAAATGTCTATTAAGAAGTGTATGGATAAACAAATGTGATGAACTAATACAGTGGAATACTACTTTACAATAAAAAAGGAACTACTGATACAAGCAATAACATAGACGAATCTCAAAATATATTATGGTGAAAGATACCAGGAACAAAAGAGCAAATTCTGCATTATTCCTTTAAAGTGATGTTCTAGAATTGGCTAAACTAACCTGTATTGATATAAGTCAGATCAAATCAGTGATTTGAAGGTTGGATTTTTTTTTTTTTTTTGACTGGAAAGGTGCGTATTAAACTTTCTCAGCTGAGAGAAATGTTATGTATCTTGATTAGGGTCATGTTTCCACTGATGAATAAATTTGTCAAAAATTTTAACTGTGAAGTTAAAATATGTGCATCTTATTGTGTGTAAATTATAGCTAAATAAAGTTGATTAAAAATAAAATACCTATTCCTATGAATAAATCTGGGGCACGGGTGGTGCAGTGCTTAAGAGCTTGGCTGCGAACCAAAAGGTCAGCAGTTTGAATCCACCAGTTGCTCCTTGGAAACCCTATGGGGCTGTTCTACTCTTTCCTATAGGGTTCCTATGAGTCGGAATCAACTCGATGACAAAAATAAAAAAAAACTAATTGAATATTTGCAAGACCTCTACACTGAAAACTATAAAACCGTTCTGAGAAACGTTAAAAAAATCAAACCAAACCCATTGCTGTCGAGTCAATTTAGACTCATAGCGACCCTATAGAAACATAAAAGAAGACCTAAATAAATGTAGGGATATACCATGCTCACAGATTGGCAGACTCTATACACTAAAGATGTCAGTTATTCCAAAATTAGTGTATAGATTCAATGCAATCCACATAAAAATCTCAGCAGATTATTTTTGTTGATGAGCAGATTCCAAATACCAAGAAACCACTGCTGTTGAGTCGATTCCAAGTATGTATATGAAAATGCAAAGATCCAAAAATAGCCAAGATAACCTTAAAGATGATCTAATCTGAGAAACATTTAAAAAAAAAAAAGAACAGCACATAAGAGATCTGTGGGACACCATTAAGCAGACAAATACACATATTATGGAAGCCCCAGAAGGAGAGGAGAAAGAGAAAAGAGCAGAGAGAATATTTGAAGAACTAACGCCCAAAAACTTTCCAAATGTGATGAAAGACATGAATTTGCACACACAAGAAGCTCAACAAACACCAGGTAGAATAAACCAAGGAGATAAACGCTGAGGCACATTATGGTAAAAATGTCAAAAACCAAAGATAGAGAAAGAATCTTGAAAGCAACAAGAGAAAAGTGAACAGTTACATACAACCAAAAAACCAAACCCATTGCCACTGAGTCGATTCCGACTTGTAGCGACCCTGTAAAACAGAGTAGAACTGCCCCCATAGGGTTTCCAAGGAGTGGCTGGTGGATTCCAACTGCCAACCTTTTGGTTAGCAACCAATCTCTTAACCACTGTGCCACCAGGGCTGCATTACATACAAGGGCACCCCAATAAGACTAAGTGTCAATTTCTCTTCAGAAATCATGGAGGCTAGGAGGCAGTGGGATGATATATTCAAAGTACTGAAAGAAAAAAAACAAAAGAACTATCTTCCAAGAATCTTGTATCTGGCAAAAATGGCCTTCAAATATGAGGGTGAAATTAAGATATTTCCAGATAACAGAAGCTAAGGGAGTTTGTTACTACCAACCTGTCCTAAAGAAATGCTAAAGGAAGACCTCCCATTTGAAAGGTGATGACACTAGATAGTAATTCAAAGCTGTATGAAGAAATAAAGACTTTCAGTAAAAGTAATTTCAAGGGCAAATATGAAGGCCAATTTTGCTGTATCTTTGGTTTGTAACTATATTTGTGATGTTCTATGTGATATAGAAGACAAAAGTTTAAATAATAATTATAAATAAATACTGGGCACATATGTATAAAGATGTAATTTGTGAGATTAACAAC